ACCCTCCCACCCCTGAGCTGCCGGGATCCTCTCGTCCTTGGGGGTCGGTGTCCCAGGGGTGACCATGACGGTTCTCGGGGACCCACGCAGACCCACAGGAGGGTCACTGCTCTCCCGCAGAGCTGACCCCTCACTTCCTTAGCCTCGTCTTCAGATTTTTGTTGTTTTGTTCTTGTTGTTCTCCGCGTCACTTCGTCCTTCATGTTGACTGAGAAGAACTCGGGTGTTTGGTTGGGAGAGTCACGCGTCACATCCCAACCCGATGGGGACACTTTGCGCGTCTGTCACCTCTCGCGCTTCACCATCGCGGTGGGGAAGGAACGTGCCACCGTCTCTCAGCCAGCTCTTTTGAACTCTGTGCAAGGACGCGGATCCGGGACGATGCAGCTGGCGTCCTGAGTTAAACCTGTGCCTCTGTGAAGTCACCTTTGAGATCTGTGTCCCCTCCTCTGTCCCTGGGGAGGACATGGCCATGGCATGAGGGCCCCCTGACCCAGGAGGAGCCCATCTCAGGACCCTCCACTAGTGACCTCTGCAGAGACCCTGTGTCCACACCAGGTCCCACTCACAGGTGCTGGGGTCCAGCTGTGGACAGCACCCGCCCCTTACCCTGGTGTCCAGGCGCTGAGAACCAGCCGTCACTGGACACTGGAGCGTAGGTGTGGGTGGAGGGATGGGCGAACCAGACCCAGGGAGGTGCCCACCTGTCATGCCGGCCCCTCGGGAGGCTGAGGCAGGAGGATGGCAAGTGGGAGGCCAGCCTCGACCACTTACCAACCTAGTGAGATCCTGCGTCAAAATAAGATATAAAAAGGGCTGGGGACGGGGGCTCTGTGGTGAAGTCCCCTCTGGGTTCCGTTCCTAGCCAGGTGACACCTCCAAGTGGCATGTGGTCACCAGGGCTCTGCGTCCAGAAATGGATGAATCCATTCACGTTGTGACAAGTTCACGGACGGACGGCCCCTCCCAGAACAGACTTTGCCATAAATAGGGGCAGGACCCAGGCTGCGGAGTTTGGTGACAGCCTCCAAAGACTGACAAAGAGGCCACGGGGAAGAGCAGATGGTCCCAGGGAGGCGGTGAGTTCTCCAGTTCCCAGGGTGCCGTGAGAATATTTAAGATCCTGGGAGATTTAGGGTGTTTCGTTATCCTCTCCATATTGGAAAAGTCCAGCGTCATCAGGAGATGGCGTCCGTCTGGACCTATTCCGGAAGTTTACATAAGGAGAGGAAGTAGACAGGGATCCAAAGGGAAATTCCCGAGTAGCTGGGATGACAGGCAGCACCACCGCGCCCAGCTGGTACTCAGTCTTTGAATGGACCTGGGAGGGAGCCGCCATATGCATTACGTAGTACTGAGTCTTTGAATGGACCTGGGAGAGAGCCGCCATATGCATTACGTAGTACCGAGTCTTTGAATGGATCTGGGATGGAGCCACCAGATGCATTACGTAGTACTGAGTCTTTGAATGGGCCTGGATGGTGCCGCCATATGCATTAAGTAGTACTGAGTCTTTGAATGGACCTGGGATGGAGCCGCCATATGTAAGTAGTACTGAGTCTTTGAATGGGCCTAGGATGGAGCCACCATATGCATTGAATGGTACTGAGTCTTTGAATGGACCTGGGATGGAGCCACCATATATATGCATTAAGTAGTACTGAGTCTTTGAATGGGCCTGGGATGGAGCTGCCATATGCATTAAGTAGTACTGAGTCTTTGAATGGGCCTGGGATGGAGCCACCATATGCATTAAGTAGTACTGAGTTTGAAAGGACCTGATGGAGATGCCATATGCATTAAGTAGTACCGAGTCTTTGAGTGGATCTGGGATGGAGCCACCATATGCATTACATAGTACTGAGTCTTTGAATGGACCTGGGATGGAGCCGCCATATGCATTTCGTAGTACTGAGTCTTTGAATGAACCTGGATGGAGCCGCCATATGCATTATGTAGTACTGAGTCTTTGAATGAACCTGGATGGAGCCGCCATATGCATTGAATGATACTGAGTCTTTAAATGGATCTGGGATGGAGCCGCCATATGCATTAAGTAGTACTGAGACTTTGAGTGGATCTGGGATGGAGCCGCCATATGCATTATGTAGTACTGAGTCTTTGGATCTGGGATGGAGCCGCCATATGCATTAAGTAGTACTGAGACTTTGAGTGGATCTGGGATGGAGCCGCCATATGCATTAAGTAGTACTGAGTCTTTGAATGGACCTGGGATGGAGCCGCCATATGCATTATGTAGTACTGAGTCTTTGAATGGACCTGGGATGGAGCCGCCATATNGTAGTACTGAGTCTTTGAATGGACCTGGGATGGAGCCGCCATATGCATTGAATGGACCTGGATGGAGCCGCCATATGCATTGAATGGTACTCAGTCTTTGGACGTGCGATGGAGCCGCCGTATGCATTAACTGGTACTGAATTTTTGTATGCGTGAAGTAGTACTGGATAGAGCCGCCATATGCATTGAATAACACTCTTTGAATGGAAAAGAAAAGACCATGAAAAGACACGGAGAATGTTCCAGAATGTCGTCCCAATCGAGCAAGAGAACATTCTCCTGGCGTCGTCCTCTGTGTTTAAACAGGTGGCGGGTTCCCTGGGCCTCACCCTGGCTCTGACGTGCCCCATCCGCCCCTCACTGACGGCGGGTTCTGTTCGAGCTGCGTGACCACTGCCCTTTCTCTGGATGAAGTTCTTCTCCCCCCGCAAAGACTTGTCTTCCCCCGAGAGTTTCTGGACGGTGCTTGGGGTTCACGTTGATGTCCTTCCTCCTGGACGCTCTTGTGTGCTGTGGACCCAGAGTCCAGCTGTTCATCCACTGGACCTGGACGTCCTTYCGAGCACCTCCCGGTCAGGATTCCTGTCCGGTCCTCAGCTGTCCCTGTATTTCTTGAGATGGTGATTGACATCCTTACCACCTAGACTTGTGAAGTACGCAGGTTGGGCACAAGCCACCAGGTCCTCTCCATCCGACAGACGGACCCCTAGGCCACGTCCAGAGACATGGATCTGGCCTCAGGGCTCTCTTAAACAGCTCTGGCCTCTATTTCAGCCTCCACTCTTGCTCGGACTCTTGCAGTGGACTCCTCTGTGGGCTCTTAGCCCTTGGCTGCTCGCATCCTACTTTTCAGATACTCAGAGTGACCTCGGTGTTATTCCTCCGCCCGGGGAGTCTGTTAGGGAACCGGGCGCTCGGCCCTTACCGCTGCCTTGGATTTCTTTTTCTGTTTTGGGGGGTATTGGGGATTGAACCCAGGGGTGCTTAACCACCGAGCCACATCCTCAGCCTTTTTAATTTTTTATTGGGACACAGGGTCTCATTGAGTTGCTTAGGGCCTTGCTAAGTTGCAGAGGCTGGCCTCCAACTTGCCATCCTCCTGCCTCAGCCTCCTGAGCTGCTGGGATGACAGGCGGGCACCACCGCACCCGGCTGCCCCTCCTTTCTTACGACCCTGATTTTTGTACTGGTTTTCCATCACGACGATGCCAACTCTTTTTTATTTCCCTAATTTTTTTTTCATATATTAAGTAGATTTTTTGAAAAATGCATACAGTCCATGCAGACTTGGTAAAAGCCATCCATCAGCTCAAGGTCTTTGTGTCCGGGTTTGAACCCGTGAGCGGGATTCTCCGTTCTAACGCAAAACCTGAAGGAATTTGCTAGACGCGGTGGGCACCCCGCTCCCTCTCCTGAATGCCAGTCTTTCTTATTAATTTTTTTGCTAATTCTCGTATGCCTGTGGGTCTGATTAGAACCCGTTTCTTTGATTAGAGTTTTGGGCTAATCAGTATTTTCTCAGGAAAAGAAAATATTCTTTCCTGGAGATTTTCACAGGTTTTTTTTTTTAAATGGATTTAGCCTAGCGGCAATAACCACCGGGAAAGTGTCATTATAGAACGTTCTTCTTGGGGTCCTCTTTCCGATTTGTACATTTGCATTTTTAGCCTCATTAATATATGATGCAAAACCCCCTCCAGCCCTACCCTCCCCCTGTCCCTTCCTGGGCACCCTGACACACAGGTCACCCTGTCACTCCCGGCTGCAGAGCTGGACGTGAGTTTTCTCCACCTGGAAGGTGGCTCCGGCCACTCTGGCTGGGTATAAAASTCGGCCCCGGGGAAACACTGTTGCCACAGGTTGAAAATCCAGTCACTTTGCCCTCTGGAGGCCGCACGCGTGGGTCCACGGATCCTTCTATCCCCAGCTCTAGAGACCTGCAAAGTGGCRCGCGTGCCCTGTGTCCTGCGTCTCCACGGGTCTCTCGAAAATGGCTCCYGTCCCTAGAGCATGCTTCCCGGGGACCTGTCCCCGACCCCGTTGCTTGTCTTGAAGGCAAAAGTTGGTCGAAAGTAACGTGCGTCAGCGAATCTGCGTGTGATGTCCTTTTTGCAATAAGAAATGCCCTGGGAGATGCCTTAGCGGGTTCCGTGTCTTCCCAGACGGGACCGACGGGTGCAGAGCTCTCTACGCTGAGTGTGGAGAATCTCTTGCATGTGATGTGACCCTCCCGGAGACATCAGCGTTAATTTTCGGTTTTCCCTTAAACTTCTCCCAAATAGGAGGCCATTCCCTGCCTCCCCCCTCCCCAGGCCTGAGACTCTTCTCTTGGGGTCCACTCAGAACCCAGTCTCCTCTTCTTTTGTCTCCCAATTTAGAGACCTAAATCGTCCCTTGGCATCTGTCCCCGCCGATTGGTCCCCCATCCTCCTGGGGGTACCCAAATCCTCGCATGCTCACGTCCTGGGCAGAAAATGGTGCAGTCCACAACCCGTCAATCACAGGCAAACCCACCTCTCTCTCCCACGCTCAGGAAGAGGGTGTCCCTCGCTGGGGGTCACCTTGGGACATGGCTGTCTCACTGTTCCTGACTTTTCCTGACCCAGGGCTCATTCCCAACGGGAGAGAGGCCCCCACCTGTCTGGAAATGAGCCTGGTGCGCAGGCGGGCGGTAACCCCGTGTCTCTGTTCCCCTCCAGTTGAGTTTTTCTACTGTGACCTGGGCTCCATGATGTCCATCCGGCAGTTCGTGCACAAGTTCAAGATGAGGAACGTCCCGCTGCACGTCCTGGTGAACAACGGTAAGTCGCGTCCAGGTGGACACGGCGGATGCTGACGTGATGGCCGGCACCTCCCAGTGGGAGCAGGAGGGTTTCCCCGAGGCTGGCTGCCTGTTGGACGCCAGGGCTCTGTGGTCCCCAATGTCCTTTGCAGCCCCAGCGCCAGGTGTGCTGGATGTTTAGACGCGTCCCCTTGGGCTGTGGTGGCTGGGGACCCACTAGGAGTTGGATCCCAAATCTCATGACATCCTAACGATGCTGCTGTGGGGCCAGCCCTGTGAGGTCCCCAGATGCCCACGGGTGGCTCTCTCTTGGGTTCTGCAGACCTGGCCCCACAGTGAGGCCTGGGGACCTCCATCTGTTGCTTAGGACCTTGCTAAGTTGCTGAGGCTGGCCTCCAACTTGCCATCCTCCTGCCTCAGCCTCCAGCACTTGGAAGTCAACTTCTAAGACCTCCCAGAACCCAGATTTTTTTTTCTACTTTGAGTCTTTTCAATGCCTCCAGGAAACAATCGAACGTTGGCAAACACTAAACAGATCACACGGGAGCTGGGGTCTCCTTTGGGTGGCATTTTAAAAATCGACCCCTGTTTTCTCTTCCCGGCTCTGCTGGATGCGGACGGGTCAGTTCGCTTGGTCATTTATCAAATGCCAGAATCATGCATCGTGCACCTCACCGAGAACCGGCTCTGTATTTATCGTCTGTTCAGCAAAGGCCACTCGGGAGGCTGAGGCAGGAGGATAGCAATTTGGAGGCCGGCCTCAGCAACTAAGCAACTCTGCGAGACGCTGTCTCTAAATAAAAATAAAAAGGGCTGGGGACGTGGCCCAGAGGGTCAGCACCCCTGGGTTCCATCCCCAAATCCCCCAAAGCAAAAAGTGTCCCTTGTTCCCAACCCACACACGAAGGCACAGACTTCGTGGCTAGTCCCCGGCATCCAAGGGCCACTCGGTCCATCTGACTGTCCCCCGGAATCCTTGTCCCCCCAGCCGGCGTGATGATGGTCCCCCAGCGGCAGACCAAGGACGGGTTCGAGGAGCACTTGGGGGTCAACTACCTGGGCCACTTCCTGCTGACCAACCTCCTGCTGGACACACTGAAAGACTCGGGCTCCCCGGGCTGCTGTGCCAGGGTGGTCACCGTGTCCTCGGCCACCCATTACGTTGGGGAGCTCAACCTGGATGACCTTCAGGGCAGGTGGGTTCCGCCTGGTCAGTGGCCGCACCGAGCAGGGCCTTGCTGGGCTGCGCCGGGCTGCGTCATGGGCCTCTCTGGGCTGGTTCCTGTGCTCGGATGCAGGCAGCGTGGGTGGGGGGCGTGGCTGTGCCGGGCGGAGGGACATTGTGCTCCTTCTCCTCCTCCCCGCCAGGGGGAGGTCTGGGACGCACCGCACACGCAGCAGGTGCCGTGGCCACACCTGGCGTCCCAGCGGCTCCGGAGGCTGAGGCAGGAGGATCCCAAGTTGGAGGCCAGCCTCAGCGATTTAGCGAGGCCCTAAGCAACCTGGAGACAGAACCTATCTAGTTGGAGGAAGGATCCTTGTCCCCCTGGGTCCCGGGACCTGGTCTGCGTCAGGGTCACAGAAGTCCCCCCTTCAGGGTCCCCTGGCCCCTCTCAGGGACATGACTTCCCGCCTGCATGTCCCCTGCAGGTCACAGGTGGTGTGTGAGGACGGTGGTGGAGGCTGTGCCCGGAGACCAGGCAGGGCTGCAGGTCCAGGGCTTCGGGGAAGGAAGCTGTGGGGACAGCACCGGGGGCCATTGATAGACTTGTCCCCTGGACCTCGTGTCCACCATCTGCACCCGTCTGTCCCCCCTCAGGGCTTCAAAGTGACTTTTTCCAAGGCCCTGAACGGGGCTCCCTGGGATTCCAAACCCTGATCCTGAGGCTGCGTCCGCTGCAGGCGGTTGATTGACAGCTGGGCAGAGTGGGCGGGCCTTGGGTCTGAGCCTGGGGGCGGGGCCTCCCGTCGGTCCCGCCTCCTCCTGGGGCTTCACTTGCCCTGCTCCTGGGGACCTGCGCCTCCTCCTCCTCCTCCTCCTCTCCCTTCCCCCTTGTGATATGATCCTGCTCCTCCCAGACCCCCCCCCCCCCGGGGGACTGTCTCCTGGAATTAATTGTCCCCTTGGGTCCTTGTCTCCAAGACAGCACCGCGATGTGGCATTTGCAAACCTTCCCACCGTGACAAATCCACATAATTGCAGAGCCCGTCCCTCTCCCCGGCACCAACCTGCCTTTTATGATTCACTTTCTGCTTTTTAAAGGATCCAGGAACCGTCCCCCGTCGCCCCCAGCCAACCCTGTGATTTAGAGCCAGTGGCTTGAGATGATATGGAAATGACCCCAGCAGCTGGAGGCGCCTGTCCCCCCTGCCCCGCCCCCCAGCATGTGTCCTGTGTCCTGGGGGCTTTTTCTCCCCACCAGGAGAATGATTGGAGACCTTCCTGGGACCCGGGAGGTCCTTGCTGCCCTATTTCTCTGAATTGCACAGTCTGCAACCCTAACCACCCTCCACCTCATCMTCCCGAATCATTTATGCTGAGATGGGATTTTTCCCTTTTTAGCACCAGCCCCGTGGCCATCCTCATGGCCCTTTGCTGACCAGTCTCTAAGGCAGGGGACCGGCGAGTTATTTTCCATCAGGAATCCAACGGAGCCCAGGCTACACCTCAGATCGGGCCGGTGGATTTGCCCTGAAATGGATTCATGTCCTGATGACCCCCCCCCCCGTTGCCTTTCTTGCTGTCCTTGGGCTTCAGCACTAGAATCCACTTGAATGGATTAATCCACTTGCATGGATTAATCCACTTGAATGGATTAATCCACTTGCATGGATTAACTGGGTAGTCATTGCAGATCGGCAGGGCGTGGCTGCAGGAGGTGGGTCACTTTGGGGTCCATATTTTGTCTTTGTTGAGCAGGGCCCTCTCTGAGGCTGGTTCCCCAACGTGGTGGTGTTGTCAGTGGGGGACCCTTTAGGAGGCGGAGCCTAGTGAGAGGAAGTTAGGTCTTTGGGGGCGTGGCCTTGAGGAGAATTCTGGGACCCCAGACTCTTCTTCTCTCTCTCTGTTTTTACTTCCTGAGTACCATGAATTGAGTACTGTGTCCACCCCGCTTCCCGTCACCACAAGCCCAACCCAGAAGGTCGAGCATCAATAAACCTTCCCTCCTTGTACATGGTCTCAGGGATTTTTGTCACAGCGACGGATCGCTGACCCATACCGTGACTAAATGGCACATTTTAACCCCAGACCATCTCGGATTTCCACGTGGGCACACCCAATCAAATCCGCTCCAGTTTCAAATCCAGACGGACATGCACAGGCCCAGCTGACCTCTCCTATGTGCAGAGGACAGAGCCAAGGTCCTGGGGCTTAATGACACCTGACAAATGTCTCCAAATGACTGCTTTTTTTTTTTTAGGGCACCTGGGATTGAACTCAGGGGCCCTCTACCCCAGCCCTATTCTGCATTTTATTTAGAGACAGGGTCTCCCTGAGTTGCTTAGCAACTTCCTAAATGGCTGAGGCTGGCCTCCACCTTGCAATCCTCCTGCCTCAGCCTCCCAAGCCGCTGGGAGGACAGGCCTGCTGCCACCGCGCCTGGCTTCTGTAAATGATTAGGAAACGGGGTTTCTCAGGCTTTCCCTCCTGGGCTGGGAAGCCGGGATGGCTGAGCGGTAGTAGTTGCTGCAAAAACCGCATCTTGAGGTTGTTGGTCGATTGCAAAAAAAAAAAAAGATAATTCTAACGATAAGCCAGGTCTCTTGCTGGGCCATCTCTTGGTGGCCTGCTCCTTTGTCCCCATGACCCCTGGGCTGCTCTTCAGCTGGGCGTGCACCTGCTCAGTGTCCACGTGGGCAGGGCCTGGGCTGGTGGGGAATTCGAACTCAGCACCATGTCCTCTGACTCGGTCTTCTCCGTGGCCTCCGCAGCCGCGGGTGCTACTCGCCGCACGGAGCCTACGCGCAGAGCAAACTGGCCCTGGTCCTCTTCACCTACCGGCTCCAGSGGCTGCTGGCCGCCCAGGGGAGCCACGTGACCGCCAACGTGGTGGACCCCGGGGTGGTCAACACGGACCTCTACAGGCACGTCTTCTGGGGCACGCGGCTGGTCAAGAGGGTCCTCGGCTGGCTCCTCTTCAAGGTGAGACCCCCCGGGGGTGGGGCTGGGCCACCTGTGGCCACCAAAGCAAAATGCAAGGTCAGAGTCCAGTGCTTGATTAATCCTGCGTCCAGTGTCCAGTGTCCCTGAACGCCGCGGGTCCCCCTGCACGATATCACAGCCAGCTGCAAGGGACTCTTCCAAGTCTGGGGACCCCTGGGGACCTCGCTGGGTGAGCTCTGAGGTCTAAGAGGAAGAGGAGGAGGAGGAG